AATATAGTTTAATCTTTCATAGCTTTAGCTTCTGATGTCAGAGAATCAAAATATGTTTAGATGTTAGTAAATACATCCCATTCCACACTGAAAAATTGTATCATTAGAAACCATATGTTCCTGGCCAGGTGTATAGGCTCATGCCTATAATCCCAGCACTTTGGAAGTCAGAGGCAGAAAGAATCACTTGACCCAGGAGTTCAACCATCCTGGCAGCATAGCAAGATTCATCTTAAAAAAAAAAAAATTCTACATATAAAAGAAAGCCTATGTTTCTAAAAATTATAAAATGTTTATTTGTAAGTTGTTAGAAAATGACTGACAGTTAAAATTCCTTACTTCTTAGTTAAAATTCATTACTTCTTATAATTATATAACTAATAATTAAGGTTACTAGCAATTAAAATACTGACTAACATATGGAAACCAAAATTAGACATAAGAAGAGTTACAATTTCATAAACAAAGTGCATAAAAATGTGTTTGGCTAAAACATTAAAAGAGACATGAAACTGTTTTTTCTTAAAGAAAAGTAAATCTGTCTAGTGTAGAAATTACTTAAAGCTTGTGTTAAATAAAGGAATAAAATTTAAAAAATAAGACAACTGAAGGGATATAAGAATTGGGAGAAAAAAGAGAATGGGGAAAATTGTTAGAGGTAATAAAAGATTTATAGAAAATATATCTTGCATGGCCAGAGCTGACTGTGATTGTATAGGCTTGCTTATAAGCTTTTATTAAGGTTATAAATATTAATACTACAATAATGCTGGCATAAACTTTCATTTTCTCTTTTAAGTAAGATTTTTATAAAGTATTAATAAAAAATAAGAAAAGACTTGGGTTCACCTTTTGAATAAACTGGAAAAAAAGGAGAAATGACTAAACTTTAACCATAACCATATTAAGTCATGTCCCATTCCTTCCTGGAGAGCTCCTTCTGATCTTAACACAAAGAGACCCATTTTCCTGGACAAATAATTTGGTCTAATTATAATATATAGCTGATTGTCAGCATTTCCATTGTGCCTATCAGCTTCAGTCTTACAGACTGGTGGAAGGCACAAATGAAAAAACAAAAAACCTATTGGCAAAGTTGACAGAAACCTTTAACCTCCCTAGCCTAAGGCTCTTCCATGGGTATTACTTAACTTACAGTCTCCCTCATTAGGAAAGCATCAGCTTTCTCCCTCTGACAAGAAGGTCCAAGCACCTGGATGAAATAGCTAAAACTGGCTTTTCTTAATTATTCTTCATTGTTTTTCATTATTGCCAAGGCTTTATAAAGCCTCTCACTAAAAATTCTAACTTAAAGATTCTTTTAACAGCAACCTCCCAGGAGATATACATACAAAGCTCATGGCCTCTGTGCAGGAAGTTTGTTTATTGGAAAACTCATCAAACAAGATTCCCACTGGAAGAAACCACATCAGGTACTGTGAGCCAATCCCTGTGTTCCTAAATTGAAGGACAATGTCTCTTAAGTCATTTGGTCATCCCTCCACCTAAAGACAGCTCTGAAGAAACCCAATGCTGGACTAGTTGGTGAAAAGCACCAACCAATTCTCATGCTTTTCTCTAGGCCTGACCACCAATCTATTTTAGGAGATTCTACCTGAGGGAACCAACTAATGATCTGACCATCAAGAAGATATTTCCATGTGTTTCATGGGGAACATGCTTTTACCTTGATGGGCTGTCATTTTCCATGAACTCATGATTAGAAATTTTTTCATAACCTTAGGAAAAACTGACGATGAAACCAGCTTCCATTGCAGTTCAACACAAAAGCTGTTGATTCACTGGTTGAAACTGTACTAAACACACTGCCTTACATTATCCATTAGCTGAGAAGGAGGGGTATGTATGTTGCAAAGTCTCTTGCTTTCCATAAAGGAGAAACTCAGCTAGTGAACAAGAGAAAGAAAGCCACTTGGCCACCATAGACCTCTAAAGAAGAAACTGGATTTAAGTTTCTTCGTGATGTTCTTAGTTGGCTCCCTAATGGAGAAGGTTTCTACTTGTTGTCCTGTCATATACAAATTCTCCTTGTATAATCCTAATGTTCATTATATTTCTGTTATTCAAATTATTAATGTTATGTATCTCTTATTAGTTCTTCCAAGAAAATTAGCATCATGGTATTCCAAAGACTAGAGATTATGAAACTAGGAACAGCAGCTACATAAATTGATGACTTGACTGAAGCCTCATCGTTGTCACCCTGTCATGCCATCCCAATTTGGCTTTGGGTGCTCTTAAAGTTCCTCATTGAGATGTCTCTTCTTCCTCCCCACACGATGTGGGACAGGACTATTTGGGAATGAGTCTTCCTAGCAATAAGGGACACCATGACACTCAGATTTTGATCATCGATGCTTTCAAATAGAAAGACTGTGATCAAAAGGGAGAAATAGGAAAACAAAACTTTTTATTTGAAGAAGGCAAGTCTTGTTTAAGGCCCAGAGAAGCACAGGAATGTGTAAGCAATCACATCTCACTGTTGCTAAGACCCTTGAGCTCAGCAATCATCTCTTAAAGCCACATGCTACATGGACTCTAGACTAATACCACAAACACCTATAAACTAACACTGAACACCATACCTCATACCTTGCAGCTGAACAGTGTATAACAAATCACTAAGCAATGTTATTTCTGTAAGCCAATAAGAATTCCTGACAAGGAACTTTTTATTCGCTAACTCCTTGTCCCTCTTTTTGACTTTAAAAAGCTGCCTGTAATAATTTAAAAAACAAAACCAAAAATACTGCCTGTAACAAAGATGAAATGAAACTCATATCCAAGAATACTTGGGTCTGAGTCTTTCAAGCAACTATCTTTCAAGCAATTATCCTCACCTTGGCTCAAATAAATGCTTTATATTTTGTGCCTCAGTCTCTCCCTTTAGGTCAACAAATTTATAAAGCATTAGGACTTGGGGGAAATAAGAATGACATTGCCAACAAGATCAAAAGAGACAGTTGACACATCTCAAGTCTCATAAGCACTGGAACGGGTGAGTACACTGGGTGACTCACAGCCTCAGACAGCAGCCTGTGCACTAGATTGAAGCAAAGAAACCACACACACACACACACACACACACACACACAAAACCTTTGAGCATTATATTTATGAGCTACGAAAGGTAACAGTAAGTTACTGAAAACTCAAAACAGGTAAAACCAAGCAAAACCCTGCTTCATGATAAACACTTAAGCTAGAAAAAAAAAAACAAAAGGAATCAGGATTGTACTCCTAAGTGGATGCAGAAGATAAAATCAGGGAGATGCAATAATGGCCCAAGGCCTGTATATCCACCTGGATGAAAGCCTAGGGAGGGTCATATTCTTATTATTTAAACTCAGCACAAAACAATTTATTTCAAAAATTATCTTTGCTTCTTCAGGTTATATCAAGTCACTCAGATTTTCAAGCAAGAAAATAAAAATCTTACACTCAAATCATGAATTAAATCCTTAAATACTTGAACAAACAGGAATTAGATGCCAGTATGATTTTATAAAGAAAACATAGGACAAGCAGCTCAGGGAAGCAGCGTCTTTCACCCATAGTTCACAAGGAACCCCATACTCTATAGATTTAACACATTTCCAAGCTTAGGGACCACTCTCAAGGTTGGGATGTAGCCCAAGGAGGCTCACTCCTTGCTGGTGAGGGAGAAAAACCAGAGCAGCTGGGAATTTAATTCTGGGAGCTCCTCACACCCTACTGTCCCATCCTCACAGCATGGAAACAGTCCCTCCTTCAGAGTCTCAGTTCTCAACTGATACCAAACCCTCACCCAGAGTCAGTTTAAGGTTCTGGCCTGTCATGTCTTTTTTCTGAAAACTTTTCTGACACCAAATGTGTGGAGTTTGCTGAACACCAACCAATTCTCAAACTGGGTGTCCATTAACATAATTCTGACACCACCCAGAGGCAACAAAGACTCCAGAAGTGTAGAGCTAGTACCACAACACTGCCCCACTGCAGATGCTAGTCACAAGCCCCAGGGGCCCACGTACACTTCTGAGCAACTGCCTATAAAGTGGGGGCTCACATTACCCCTCCTCAAGTCCAAAAATTTGATAGAACTACTTACACAACTCAGCAAAACGATGAGAACTATTCATAGCTATGTTTACCAGTTCATTTAAAGGACATAACTCAGGAATAGCCAATTGGAAAAGATGTATAGGGCAAGGGAGAGTAGTAAGGAGGATGGTGGGTAGGTAATCCTGTAAACAGTTGTGATTAAAGAACTCCCCCATCCTTTGTGTTCTCAAGAGCAGCTTACTGCAGAGGAACCACCTTCTCATTATGACTTAAAGGATGCTCCCATTTTACCTATCCCATAGCTTACTGCATCCTCCAACTCCTGGGCTCAAGTGATCCTCCCTCCTTACCCTCCAGAGCAGCTAGGACTACAGGCATACACCACCACCATGCCTGGCTTTTTCATTTTTGTTGTTTACAGATTAGGGTCTCACAAATTTGTGCTGACTGGTCTAAAATTCCTGGCCTCAAGCAATACTCCCACCTTTACCTTCCAAAGGTGCTGGGAATACAGGCATGAGCCACCATGCCAACTTGACAAAACACTTGTTAACCAAACTTTTCTTAAGTTTTTCTCCTTCCTCCAGGCTGCTAAAAGCAGACCCACTCCAGCCTGAGCCAACATATGACCCCTCTTTATGTCCTTCCTAAGAACAGGTTGACTTCAGGATAAAATATTCACTGATCTACGATCTGATTTCACTGCCTTCCAACCTACCCTGCCCTCCCACCTCTCTAATCTTGTTTGCTCTTCCCCATGAAAGAAAGCCCTAGTCTACCTAATCTTTGAAATACTCCTTTAGAATAAAGTTACTTTTAACCTAAACTTGAAACTATTTTATTTGACAATTTCTAGAAACTGCCCCAGGACAATAACACTTATACCCTCAGAAAAGGCATGATATCCCCACTTCCATCCCAATCCCAACCACATGTACCTGGGGGTCTCCAGCTTTCCACGACTCTGCAGCTTCTCTCAGTTCAAAGGCCCCTTCCATGGCTAGTGTGAGCACCTGGGACAACTGCAAGGGAAGCTTCCCAAAAAGAACTAACTGGGACTTCAATGATTTTCTTTTGCAGGATCAGGATCGACTTTTGCCTCAAGTCTCTGGACCCATGATTCTGCTTCCCAGTCAAGCTTATTCAGCAAAATCACTTGAACTCAGTGTTTCTGTTTAGAGAAGAACAAGAAATTGTAAGAAACTTACGTTTCATATCTCAACAGAAAAAACAAAAGGATTACTTTCAGACCATAAACATGTCATTCATTTTTTTCCATAATAACAAAACATGTAGTAAACAATCATAATGTGAATATTTTTCAGAGTTGCCAAATCCCATCCCATAAGATTTAGCACTAGCCAGGTGTGGTGGCTCATGTCTGTAATCCCAGCACTTTGGGAAGTAGAGGCGAGAGGATTGCCTGAGTCCAGGGGTTCGAAACCAGCCTGGGCAACTTGGTGAGACCTCATCTCTACAATGAATCAAAAAATTAGCTGGACGTAGTAGCATCCACCTGTAGTTCCGGCTACTTGTAAGGCTGAGGCAGAAAGACTGCCACAGGACAAGGCTGCAGTGCTCGTGAGCATGCCCCTGTACTCCAGCCTGGGTAACAAAGTGAAACTCCTACTAAAAAAAAAAAAAAAAAATTAGTACTAAACTCTGACATCCAGATAACAGGACACAGAAAAAAGTTATCTACTGTCATTAATTCTCCACCTGCATAACAGAAAAACTGATGTTTCGTGAATGTCTGTAACTGATCGATTAATCTACCAAACTTTCTTGTGGAAACACATTCATTTTTTTGCAGCCACAACTGGAGACACATTATCTCTATTTTTCCCAGGGAGCTTTCCCAAAGCTAACCCTGGGATTATGTGTGAATTCAACATATAACACAGAGCAGACCCCAGAATCTTGTCACATTCACACTGCAACATTAAAAAAGAATGTAAGAATTGTTAACGCATGAAATATAAAAGTAGATATTTAACTTTTTCCCTAAAGTCCACCTACTTCTTGCCTATTAAAAACTATTTCTCTTTTTTATCTTTCAAGCTCTAATGATACAATCCATTTTAAAATTAAATAAATAAACAAACAAGTAAATAAAATGAAAAGCTGAAGTTGAAGTGAACAAATGTTATCAAGGTGACAAACACAGGAAGGGGAGGTACCAACAGAAACACACACATATGACTCAAGTGTCAACTCAGGCCATCCTAACACTGAGGGATCCTCCACTCCATCCTGCTCACTGAAGTTTTCAGTGACCACCCTACCAGGAGACACTGCACTTGCCCTCCTGTGTGCCCGAGGGGCATTTTGCTTTGCAGGTTCTTATATCACCTCACTGAGGTGGTTTTTCCTGTTCTTTAAAATAGTTTTTCTTTCACATCTGAAAGAATTCAGACTCTTCCTCCTTTAATAACAGCTTTCCAAAGGTTGACCACCAATATGTCTTCAAAGAAAAGCTGGAGTTTAGGGGGAAAAAAATCTTAATGTCCTAAGGGGTCACCTCTTCAGAGGAAGGATATACCAGAAGATTCCCCTTAGCTCCAGGGCATCCAGCTGATCCCAGAGAGGCTCCACCCCATACTCAGCCTGTCCTCTGGGAGGTAACCCAGGGCTGATATTCACTAGACACTCCAAGATACAGGGTCACGGTGGACATCTTGAGTCATCTCTAGAAGGTTCTAAAATCCAAGATCCAGAAAAGATAGGAGAGTGGCTGAGAACACATTTCCCTGGAAAAGTTGCAAAGAGGAACCTCAACCCAAATAGTCTGTGCCTAGGAAAACTAAAGGAGAGACACAGAGAATTTTTTTTTTAAGTGGAGTGACAGGGGATTATTCTGCTTATTTTCATGTGAAATATTTAGAAACAGAAAATAAGTATTTTAAAAACAGCCACCCACTCACTGCTCTGTGAAAAAAGTGAGCAACAATTAAAATACCATGTCTACTTAAAAAGTAAATAAATAGTTGATATGATTGTGATCTGAAAAAGGGTAGCTGGCATTCTGGAATGTGGAAACAATATCAGAAACAGGATTTCCTACAGGCCCTAAAACAGACTATGGTCACAGTCATAGACTTGAGACCATTTGCCATATACAAGATCTGACAACTAGGTTCATCAACCATCCTAGAAAAAGTGCTGAATACCTCATTGCTGAATAGCTCTATGATCACCTTCAAAGTACTTCCCTTGGGAAGCTATGCACCAATGGGAGTGTCTAATTCACCCATCAAAGCAATTTTGGAACTCTTTCTGGAATGGCCATCAGAGCTGTCGCCATTATTTGTTGAGATCTTACAATTAAGTTCATGAACTTGCAACTGTGTACTTACGTTGACAGCACTGTACAAATACTGTATTGGAACACTCTCCCTACATATCTACTCTAGCCCCCAACGACTTTTTTCTTTACCCAAAGATAAAGGAAATACTGAAAGGAAGACATTTGATGACATTCAAGGGTAATATGACAACGGCTCTGAGGAAAGTTTTCTGAGGAAAACTTAGGCTTAACCCACCACGAACTGCCAATAAAGCTGATTCCATAACCAGGAACTACCCAGCTGCATAGTCCAAATAAGGCGACTACAACACTGTAACAGATTAGTTATCGAAGGTGCTTTGCTTCCTCCTGCGCCTTACAAAAGCCTTTTCTTCACGCCCTTCCCCTGGAACCTAAACCACGAGCCATGGTTGGGGGCTTCCCGATGTGTAAACCTGTTTACATATACTCTTTAACATGTTAAAGGTGCCTCAGTTTAACATTTAACCGGAGAAACAGCTAGGGACCTAAGGACCACAGCTCTTCCCACACAGGAGCCCCGCACACGAGTGGGATCTCCCTGACACCCTCCCGTCGTCCCCGCCCAATCTGGGGAAAGCAGGGCTGCGGGCGGGAAGAGTCGCGTAGGGCCGGGACAGGACCCCCGGGTCCCGCATGCCGGTCCGGCCCCGCACTGCGCGGAGCTGCCGGTGGGAACGCCAGCCCCGCGCTCCCCATTTCTCGGCTTCCGAATGACCCGGGTCGTCCCTAGGGTCTCCAGGCCCTGCAGGTCCTAAGGGACATAGGCTGCAGCAAAGTCACCTGAGCCTACCAGAGGAAAGAGACACACTCCGAGCTCTGGCTGGAGCAGGGACAAAGGCCCCGAGATCCCGGATGCGCCGCCTCCGCTCCCAGAACACCGGCCACAAACACTCACCCGGGTCCTCTCGACGGGTCTCCAGGTTCTGTAGGTCACAGGAGACACAGGCCGCGGCAGAGCCACCTGGGCCTCTTGGAAAGCGGGCGAGGGAGCCGAGGAGACGGCACTCAAGCTGGGTTCGTGGTCACCAGAGACAAAGACCCCGCCAGATCCCGGAAGCCATCCCCTGCTCTCCGGCTCCGCACCTGAATGGACAGTTCTGACCCTGACGCTGTTGATTGGATAGCCCTGAAGGCCCAGCCCCCATAAGTCCCGAGTGACAAGCAATGCGATCAGGCGGTGGGTAGAAGGCAAAATTGTCTGGATTTTGGATGCAGCACTTTTCAGGCAGAGCTCCCCACAAACTCTCCTTGTCGTGGGGCCTGGTCTGGCCTGGGAGACGTTTACATTTAACGTTGTATATAAGATTACATGCATTTTAAATTTTCTATATTTATATAGTACGTGTATATGTTATTCACAAATGGAAATGACATTTTAGTTTGGGGAGGGGGAGGGGGTGACATGGGCCAGGGCGAGTGGGGGCGGGGCAGAGAGTTTCTGATTTTATAACCCTCCTGGCTTCTGGTCTTTAGAGGAGGCAGCCTGAGCTGAGGAAGACCATAAATGTGAGCTACGTGTGTTATTTAAATTTTCCTAAAAGCCACAAAAAAAAAAAAAGAAGAAGAAGAAGAAAAAGAATCAGGTAACATTGATTGCACTTAAATGTTTGTTTTAATATATCCAAAAATTTTTTTAACATGTCATCAATAGAAAATTATTAATAAAGTACTTCTGTGCTCCATCTCAGTTCAGAACAGCCACTTTCCAGGTACTCCGCATTCCCACATGGTCAGTGGCTGCCACACTGAAATGCAGCCGAGACCTCTGACTCCCATGACTTCAGAGAGGTGAAAGACCTACACTGTCTCTTTCAACCAGAGGTGAAGAAACATTCCCTCTCTACCAATATACCTTTTTAAAAAACTTTAATAGTTAAGAGATTTTATTCTAATAGCTATAATTACAGTGCTTGTCTGTTGAAATGAAAACTGAAAACAAGTATACAAAACAGTTGATTACTAATCGTGTATGAAAGCAGTAAGAGGTTCCACGACACCAAATAGACCAGTTCTGAGGATTTCCCCAAGATAAATTTAACAGCTCCAGCTTCTTCAGTGTTTATCAAAATACAAAAGAAAAAAGTAGAGGTCATCTTTTCGATGGCAAATCGGCCCCTTGCAGGCTGAGGGGGAGAAGCTACTTCACACATGGAGATGGTTGCCCGGGCTGGGGGTCTAGAGGGCCGCCCGCCAATGCACACGCTCCTGCTGGTGAGGCTGCAGCCGGCCCGCCAGCGTGTCTGAGTGAGCGTGAGCACTGGGAACGACGGGCCTGCTCTGGCCACACGTTGACCAGGGAACAAGTAGGCCCGTGTCCCCCAAGCTGGCTGTGGGCGGGCAGCCAGGGGTGGAGTGGGGTGGCCATGGGCTTCTGGCCCTAGGGACCGTGAGAGCACAGGGACAAGCACAAGGCTATGGAATGCAGGGTGACCCAAGGACAAGCGAGTCACAGGGATCTCTATGGTGACCATGCACAACCGAGCGCGGTCTTCCGCGCCGCCACCTCCCGCTCCCGAGGGAACAGTCGAGGTGACTGGCGTCCAGGCCGTCACTGCAAACCTACTGGGTGGAGGCTCCCTCCTGTGTTCAAGTGTTCTTGACTTGGATTCTTAACTATTTTAAAAAACGCACTGAGTTTAGGTTAAAAACCAACCACCAGAATGGATTTCAACACAGCGCTCCAGCCGGGCGCCTGGTCCACCACCGTGACGCCTGGAGGTGGGTGCCTGCGGCCCACCTCCCCCTCAGCACTGACAGTGAGTCGATTTTTCTTTTCACAATAAAAAAAGCTGAGTAATATTGCATAGGAGTACCAGAAACTGCCTCGTGGAACAGAAACTATTTACATTAAATAAAAAGCGGGCTAGCCGGGCTCGGTGGCTCAGCCTGCAATCCCGCGCCTTTGGAAGGCTGAGGCGAGTGGATTGCCTGAGCCCGCGGGTTCGAGACCCGCCTGGGCAATTTGGCAAGCCCTCATCTCTACAACAAATGAAAAAAATTAGCCGGGCGTGGTAGCGCATGCCTGTAGTTCCAGCTACTCGGAAGGCTGAGGCGGAAGGATCGCCAGAGCCCAGCCCGCAGGTTGAGGCTGCGGTGGCCGGGAGCGTGCCACTGCCCTCCAGCCTGGGCGACAGAGTGAGACTCCAACTCAAAAACAAAACAAAACAAAACGGCTGGGCTGCGTCTGCATATTTACAGCGTGATACACGGGGCACCAGCCACCAAGGCAGATTCCGGCACTCACACCGCAGAGCCGCACGTTGCCACGTGAGAGAAAGCCGGGGTGAGAGGGGAGTGCATGTTCCTTGCGGGCCTCATTCTCTGGATCGTTGCTGTCCACCAGGAAGATCAGACCTTGTGTGTTCTGGAAGTAGTGACGCCACCGAGGCCAGATCTTGTCCTGGCCGCCCACGTCACACACGGTGAAGCTGATGTTCTTGTACTCCACAGTCTTCACATTGAAGCCTATGATGGGGATGGCGGTCATGATCTCACCCAGCTTCAGTTTGTAAGGGCTCGTTGCCTTCCCCGCAGCATCCGGGCCCACCATGAGGATGCGTATTTTGCCAGAAAGGCCCTTGAAGAGGTTAGCAAAGATGTTCCCCATGTTTCTGGACAGGCAGCAGGACACTGGCCAGTGACACATCGGCAGCAGCAGCTCCGAGCCCGGTGGTGGTTTTGCTCCCACCCCAACGTACCTTTTCAGGCCCAAGTGTGGAGGAGATGGTGCCCCAAGGGAAAGCAGAGCCTGCAAGCCGAAAATGTCCACAGAAAGTGTCCACTGCTGCCCCCCGATACTAGGTGAGGGCACATCCACCATCCAGATATCAGTAAACAAAGTCCTATGGGGAACCAGAAAAAAGAAATCTCAAATCTTCAGCTCTATTCACAGCCTTGACACCCTCAATTTGCATATGGACAAAATAGGTTAAAGGCAAATTTCTTATTTTGCAGTTTGATCTTGAACTTATTTGTCAAATTTAGGTTTTCTGTTCCCTCCTGTGGTGTGGAAGATTATTTGAGTCTAAGCACCAATTACATACACACATGTCTACATTCATATCTGTATAACTCAACACCACCTACAAAAGAGATGCAGCTTCAAATAAGGAGAAAAGAAAATCAGTATGTGCAGAGTACTTACTGTTTGCCAGGTAACTTGTAATCAACCTGTCCTTGAATACTGGCATTCTGTTTGCACTAGGTGTATTAGTTAGCTATTGCTGCATAACAAACCACCCCAAATATTACTAGCTCATGGTTGTGCAGGTCAGCCCTTAAGGCTGGGCTCAGCGGAGCTCTTCCAGGCATGTGTGCTTAGCTGCTAGTTGAAGGGGTGTCTCGGCTTCTAGGGGTGAGCTAGCTGTCAACTAGTGCATCTTAGTTTTCCTCCCCATGGCATCTCACTCCCCAGCAGGTTACATGGGCATGTTCTCATGTAAAAGGCAGGATTCTGGAAAAAAAAAAAGTACAAGCAGTTAAGACCTGTTCAGCCTAGACCTAAAACTAACACATTGTCAAATTCACAGCTTTTTATTGTCCAGAGCAAAAATGACCAACAAGAACCAATCTTTGAGACACAGACTCTGCCTTTTCATGGGAGCAGCTGTGAAAATACATTGCAAAAGGTAGATAGATACAGGGAAGGATGAAGAATTGCTACCATTTTCCACTCATTATCATGATGCCTTTTCTGTAATATGGGGTTTAGATAAACTTCCAAGTGAAGGCACTTGTCTATATCTCCACAGCTACTAAGAAGGACACAAGATCAACTTGACTGCAAAGTATGTGCACCTGCATAGACCATATGATTCATGCCACCTCTCTAGGCCTTTGGGGGTCTGGAGAGTGACACTTCTGCAGTAGAAGAGGGATTCTTGTGAGATTCTCATCCCTCTAGTACTCCTTACCATTGAGAATCACTCCAGAGAATGCTTCTGAAATGTCTTGGAAGGACTTGGAATGATATGGGGAAATGGCTAAAAGCTGAGTTGTGGAAATCAAGACTCAACATTACATTCTTCATTGTAGGAGATATCTGAAAATACCTATAATGCATTCCACATGTCTGCACATATTTAAATCTCTTTTTGAGCTATTTATTATTTTAAACACAAACTAAAGCAAACTACTGTGCCTCAAACAACCTCTCATTCTAAGAGCAAGTGACATGAACACAGATGTGCTGAGAACACATTTTCTGCTGCTGCAGTTTGGCTGAACAGCTATATAAGTCTTGACATCATCCTTTCATTCTGACAGGACAAAGCTGTTTTTCAAGGACCCAAATTCAGGATCAACAATGGGACATATCCCCACAGCACTGTGGAAAATGCCCACAGCTGATGAATCTATCAACTTGCACCAGGGCTTCTTATCCTGGTTGCTCATGAGAATCACCTGGGGGGCTTTTGATATTTCCTCAATCCAAGTTGCAAGAAAGCAATTAAGTCAGAATCCCTCAGGGGGACCCAGGAAACAGTGTAGTTAAGCTCTCCAGGTGTTTACAGTTTGCAGCAAAACCCAACCCACTGCTTTATTTTTTATTTTTATTTTTTTTGAGTTGGAGACTCACTCTTTGTTGCCCAGGCTGGAGTACAGTGGCACGCTCACGGCCACCACAGCCTCGACCTGCCTGGCTCAGGCGATCCTTCCGCCTCAGCCTTCCAAGTAGCTGGAACTAAAGACGCATGCCACCATGCCCAGCTAGTTTGTGTGATTTATTGTAGAGACAAGGTCTCACCAAGTTGCCCAGGCTGTTCTCGAACCTCCGAACACAGGCAATCCTCTCGCCTCAGCCTTCCAAAGGGCTGGGATTACAGGCATGAGCCACCACGCCCAACGATGTTCAGTCTTTAAAATGTCTCAACCCACTGTTTTAAATCAACATCTATTGGGAACCCAGTGACAAATGGTTTCCGAAATGAATGCAAAAATGTTTGCTGCTGAGCTGTGGCCTTGCAGTCCTACTTGTATATCCTATTTTGGATCCCTTGCAGAATCGACCTATGCTACCC